TGATAGATGCCATTAGGTGAGGAGATGTGGCTGACATTTGTGGACGCTCTCCTCTGATTGCCTCTTTTCTCAGTGAAATAAGAAAAAAAAGTCAGGAGCTGAAAAAGAAGATGAGAAGGAGTATTGGAGTTTTGAGGAGAACAAAGCTGTGAAACGGGCATCTAAGAAAATGAGGACCATCATCCAAAATGTTAGCTCAACCACAGGTCAGTCCATCATTACCATCCCATTATTTGAATCTAGAAAAGTTTGATTTTCAAGAGGACTTCATTAAAAGGCAGATACTTGGAAGCCCAAATGCTGTTCAGCTGGCTTTCTGGTGTAACACATTTGTATCAGATGGCGCCTGAGCTTTCAGACCCCGGGGAGTGAGATCCCTCAGGTCATGTTGATTTTACTCTCTTTTCCCTGGGAAATCTAAATTTCACTTCATTTTATTATTTTTTTTCAAGAAAACTAAGTTGTTACTATAGAACTGATTGTAATTCATTTGAAAAGCATTTCAAGATTTAACGGAATTAAATCCACGTGTTAGAAAAATAGTTCATCAACCCACTTGTCCCATTTTTTTCCCCCATAGAAACATGACAGAAGTCCAGACCCTTTTGGCAGGAATCGAGGAGTGGGATAAGGAAAGATATTTGTTCTTAAAAAGGAGGAAAAGGGGCCTCCTACAGGAGGTGAGGAGTTGTTCCAGGCCAATAATAACACTTAACAATTGTGGGGGCCTTCTTAAGTACATGTCATTTAGTTAATATCCTGTCCGAAATTAATAAACACTGAGCCGGAACACACTTAGTTGTTTTCTTCTGTACAATTATGGCCAATACATTTCTATGAACTTGTGTTTTTAAAAAATGCAGTTTGGGTCGCTTATCAGGTGGCAAAAGAATGCTGTCCACAAGACACAAGGCTCTGGCATACCCTGTAAGCCTGACTTAGAATCCCCGCTGTACCACACCCAGACTCTGTGATACAGGCGGAGTGTCTGATTCTCACTGAGACAGTCTTCCTTTCATAAATCATGGGCTACTGATGGCTGTCATAAAATTAAATGAAGCAGCCTGTCAGAATACACGTGCAACCCGGTATCTGGCACATGAATGGCTACTCCTACCGTTTGTACGTTGCTAGACGCCTAGGTGGTATCTTCCCTTGTACCTGAAGAAACGTCTAGAGGATATCTGTTTCCACTCAATTTGATATCACTGAAGAGAGGCAAGTTGATGGAGAAGAGTTGCAAAGTGAGGAATGTACAGGCTATGTTTTAACATTTTCTTTAGAAACATCTTTATTACAAGTGTTCTTTTTTAAAGGGCTGGATCTCACTAGGTCTCACTTTCTAAAAACTTGAGCTGTAATTGACATACAACGTTATGTTAGTTTCAGGTGTGTGACATGATGATTCAATATATGCATCTATTGCAAAATGATGATTACAGTGTGTCTAGTTAACATCCATCACCACACAAAGTTAAAAAATTGTTTTCTTGTCATGAGAACTTCTAGGATCTACTCTCTGAGCAGCTTCCAAATATACCACACAGTGTTATTGACCATGGTCACCAGGCTGACCCTCACATCCCCAGGACTTACTTATTTCACAACTGGAAGTTTCTATCTTTTGACCACATTCATTTTGCTCACCCCCCACAACCCACCTCTGGCAACCACCAAACCATTCTTTGAACCTATGATTTTTTTTTTAAGATACCACATATAAGGGAGATCATGCAGTATCTATCTTTCTTTGTCTGACCTATTTCATTTAGCATAATATCTCAAGGTCCATCATCCATGTTGCCACAAATGGCAGAATTTCTTTTCTATGGCTGAATAATGTTCCATTGTGTGTGTGTGTGTGTGTGTGTGAGTGTGTGTGTGTGTGTGTGTGCATGTGTGTGCGTGCGTGCGTGCGTGTCTCACATTTGTAATCTATTCAACTATCAATGTACACTTATGTGGTTTCCACGTCTTGGCTATTGAAAATAACGCTGCAGTGAACATGGGGTGTGGATATCTTTTTGAATTAGTATTTTCATTTTCTTTGGATAAACACTCAGAAGTGGGATGGCCAGATCATATGGTAGTTCTATTTAAAAATTTTTCAGGAAGTAGCCTTTTCAGACTATGTTTTTAATTGTCTCCTTGGTAATATAAACATGTCACGGACTGCTGTATATATATTTTTTTTCATTTCTAGCTTGCCTAAGATTCTGGGAATTTTTACCCAACTGATGAGAAGGACATATTCATTTTCCCATAATATTTAAGAAGTTCCGGAAGGGTGGGGACCATATGTCTAAATGAATTCAGTGGGGCTACTTAATAACTCATTAAATGAAGAATAATAATGTAACAGAAATGTGTGAACTTCCTGAGCAGTTGGGTTTCAAAGGACTGTGGCCGTGCGCTCCATCTCAGACTGGCTTGGCCCTGGGAAGTGAGTGGGTGTGCTGGCTGCTGGGCTTGAAGCTGGAGCTAATGATGTCCTCGAACACTGCATCCTTTGCTGATATAGACGTTTGAATCCTGCAGCTGTTTTGCTGCTATATGTGTTTTTTTTCTTATATATTACGGTTTCAAATGAGGAGAGCAGGAAAAATCCTTGGAGCCACATAGGGCAGCCCCCAGGGGCAGAGTGTCCTCAAGCTGGGATGCTTGGAAAGCAAGAGAGCCAAGGTTCTGGATTCCACAGAAAGCCTGTCCTCTGTGACCTCTGTGTATCAATCAGCCCAGACTCCAGACTCCCTGGCTTTGGGAAAAGGCTAGGGGCCCAGGACAGCCCTGCCAGACAAACCCCCAGCCGATAACTCAAACTGTTATCCATTAACCTGAGCAGGTAGGAGGGAGTCAGTCTGTGCCTGACACACCGGTTCACAGGCCACAGACATTTCATGGGCCACATGTCTTTTACACCAGCTGGAGTGTGGGGCCACTCCCCTGCTGGTCACCTGGCCCTTTTCCTTCCTGGCAGGTGATTATTTGCTCCTTTTCCATTCCTCCAGAAGCTAGGCTGGGATCCTTGGTGTAACACAGGTTTTGCTCTTCAAGGGCTTTTAGCATCTTCCTTTAGCTGTGGAAACTTTACTCCCAACAAAACCTCACACCAAAGTCCAAAATTTAAAACAGTTAATGCTGGAAGTATTTGACATGAAGTGGAAGTAGATGATCCGAAGAGAGACATCGCCAGCCCTCCCAAATCCATCACACACACTCTTTCTTTCTCTCACTTTTTGAGGCACCTCTAAAGAATTCCTAGGACTCGAAGGAGAGAAGTTTGGAAATCCCCGAGGGTCTTAACTTCTCATTTCACAGATGAGAAGACAGGTCCAGATCTGCTCTGTCCAACATGGTAGCCACTAGGAACGCACGGCCATTGAGCATTTGAAATGGCTCGTCTAAACTGAAGTCAGCTAAACGCCATTTGCAGCAACATGGATGCTCCTGGAGAATGTCATTCTAAGTGAAGTAAGCCAGAAAGAGAAAGAAAAATACCATATGAGATCGCTCATATGTGGAATCTAAAAAACAAAAACAAACACATACACAAAAACAAAGCCTAAATACAGGACAGAAATAGACCCATAGACATAGAATACAGACTTGTGGTTGCCGGGCGGCGGAGGGTGGGAAGGGATAGACTGGGATTTCAAAATTGTAGAATAAACAAGATTATACTGTATAGCACAGGGAAATACACACAAAATCTTATGGTAGCTCACAGAGAAAAAAATGTGACAATGAGTGTGTATATGTCCATGTATGACTGAAAAATTGTGCTGAACACTGGAATTTGACACATTTTAAAATGATTATAAATCAATAAAAAATTAAAAAAAAATAAACTGAAGTCAGCTATAAGTGCAAAACACACACAAAATGTCAAAGACTTGGTACCAAAACAAAAGGATATAAAGTATCTCATTGATACATATTTTTTAAATTGATGGTACTCTAAAATGGTAGTTTAGATAGACTAGGTCCCATAAGATCTTTACTAAAATGAACCTCACCTGTTCCATTTCACTTTTTTTAATGTGACTACTAGAAAATTCAAAATTACACAAGTGGCTCTCCTTCATGTCTCATGTTATAACTCCATTGCACAGCACTGATCTAGAGTTTTCTACCCAGATCACGGGAGGCAAGTTGGGACGTGTGGTCCTAACTCCGTGTGCTCTCCAAACCACCATTCTCACATTACTCATTGACACGGAGACATAACTGACAGCTAAGAGCTTAAAGTGGCATCCCGGGGCAGCTTCCCTTAATGCGACGGGATGAGAGAGAACTTGCAGGCAGACATGAAGTTTGGGTAGGATTAGGCCCACAGATCACCTTCCCAATCACTTGTGTGTGTTTGGCGTCTGGGAAGAAACCTGCCTATGGGAGGAGCATTGATTTAGAAATAAGAAGGCCTGAGTCTTAGACCCTTTGATGGTGACCTTCTGTCCTTAGCTGGGTCACCAACCTTCTCATTTTCCTTACCTGTAAAGGGAGGGAATATGTTTTTCAGCACTCCAAGTCCTCTTCCTTCTCTGGAATTCTGTGATTTGCCATTTACGTATTCACCTGTATTCTTCCCTGCCAGCAAATACTTTCCAATGAGGTGTTCTCACATCTACTTCTTTTCCCTTCCTATTCCACTCCTCCTCAAAGCTAATTTCAGCAAAGAGGAGTTGGGCTGAGAAGGGAAGACAACTCCAAGTCACTTCCTTTTACCCTTGGCCCTGAGAGCAATGAAAGAACTGTTGTGCTCGTAACCTCTAGCCCAGTAAAGGAGGACCTGGAGAAGGAAAGGGCACAGAATGGATGAAGCGTGGGGTGGCGGGGGAGTGAAAGGATAGGGGAAAGAAGAAGAAGGAGGAGGAGGAGAAGGAAAAGGAAATGGGTATTAGAAATATGTATCTGATGACTGGATAAAGCAGTTGTGGTATATTTATACAATGGAATACTACTCAGCCATACAAAAGAATAAAATAATGCTATTTGCAGCAACATGGATGGACCCAAAGATCGTCATTCTAAGTGCAATAAGCCAAAAAGAGAAAGAAAAATACCTTATGATATCACTCATATGTGGAAGCTAAAAAAAAAAAAGACACTATGAAATCATCTATAAAACAGAAACAGACTCACAGACTTAGTAAACAATCTTATGGTTACCGGGGAAAGGGGGTGGGAGGGGATAAATTTGGGAGTGTGAGATTTACAAATGTTAGCCGCTATATATAACAATAGATATATTTTTAAAAATTTCTTCTGTATAGTAGAGGGAACTATGTTCAATAACCTTTAATGGAAAAAATATAAAAATGGATATATGTATGTATATGTATGACTGGGACACTGTGCTGTACACCAGAAACTGACACATTGTAATTGACTATACTTCAATTAAAAAAAAAGAAATATGTATCTGAAGGATTAATTAGCCTTCTACCTGGACTCCTTGGTTTATCAACTCCTAGAGAGCAGGGATTACATCCTATTTTTCTGAAGGGGGCTTGTATACAATACCCAAGCCGCTATTACACCCTGGACAACAAACACGAAGCAATCCCTTCGTGGGGCTCACTAAGTCTGTTTACCGCCCGCCTTTTATGGCAGGTACATTTATAACAGGTGTGACGGTGAAGGCAGATGAAGCACGTAGTTACACAGGATAGGAGAAGTTAAATTAGACAACAAATGTATTCAATTTTTCACCCTCCTTCAGAGCTCCTGTGAAGCAGAAAACACCCAGACATTGTTTTAAGTCAGGGAGTTTCCAGCTTTGCAACTGAAGTCCTCGGCAGAGGGCCAGGCCCGCCGTCTGTGCGTGGGAGACGGCTGCGTTCTCAGGGCTGTGCTGGAAGCTCCAAGTCTATGAGGCATTTCTGGCAGGATTTAGCTGTTACCTGTGGGTTCGGGGTTGAATTTTTCCTCTAAAATACGCTTCATCTCTGAATGGCAGCCCATGCAGAGACACTGGTCCTCCTCTTAACGCTTCTCTAAATCTGATCTGAGATAAAATGATGAGGCCTGAAGCTTCTCTCGGGCCCCACCCACACCTGCCAGCCCTGCGGGAAGAGCCGCATTAGGGGAAGTGGCTCTGAGGACTGTCCCGAACGCCTGCCCACAGTGCCCTATTGTCCTCATCCTCACGTAGGCGGCGGGTAGGAGGAAGGGATCTGTGCAGCTTCGAAAGGCAGCTACAGTGCAGCCTTTCCTGGCTGCTCCAGGGGCACGAACTGTTGAGGTTAGCTTTGCTGGGAGCCAACAAGCATTTAATTAAATTTTTTTTAAAAAATTCTTTTTAAAAAAGGAATAAGGGAAGGAAGGAAGAAGGCAAAACCAGACTATTTAGTTAAAATATCAGATTTAGGCAAGGCTAGAAAAGACTTAAACTGGCGTCACTGAGATGGTGGTGGTGGTAAGGGTGTAGGACCCAGGCACTAATACTTCCGACGTATTATCCTGTTACTGTCGGTGCCCAGCCTCTGCCTCCCAGGAGAGGGAACACAGAACCAAGCTTCAGCAGAGCTAACAGCCAACCAGCTAACACCGAGTGTCAGGCAGGCTTCCTTCCTGGTGGTCCACTAAGACCCTCGCAGCCAAACCCTAAGATTGGTTTCCCTTGATAGACTCAAGGTATATGGATAAACCATCCCTTGGGCAGTTTCTTAACTGAGAAGGGGCTGCTGGGGGCCTGGCCAGGCCCTGGGTAAACGGGGGTGTAAAATGGGGCCCGTGGAGCACGCCCCCTGG